ACTCCAGAGACAAACCCTGAATATTAACCATCACACCATCTGGATTCTCACTTAAAAATAATGAAATGTATTGATAAGAGATTGGCCTTTCTGGTTTCAGTAGGAGAAATAGTCTAGTTGTCACTGGGAGATCTAACCATCACACAGTCCTATATCTGCTATTATAGTCACAGAAATCTCTTTCTTCAAAGAGGGCTAGTCAATCTTCAACTGTTAGTCTCTCTCAATATGATGAATTGTGTACTCAGGAGAGTATGATCGGCTTTTTACATACACACATTCTTGCACACACACTGTTAAATGTACATCATAAACACATACCTATAACAACACACAGCTGCATGTGCACATTCCTATATCTATATACACTCATACATACATCTTGATATCTGCTCACTGATACACTTAAATTCACAAACTTGCATCACAAACAGATGTGTATATTTCCTCCCCTCCCAAAAAAGAGCATCAACAAAATTCAATTAACTTAAAATTGCTAAGGTACATCTTCTATACACAAAATCATTAAAAATCAAGGAACTCTGCAATTGTGACATTTGCTTTCACAACAGTTTCACATGCCTTTGAATCTGCTCACTCACAGGTCCAAATTCTGTTCTGCTGTTCCCATGTCAATCTGGAGTAAATCTATTTAAATCAGTGAATTTACTCTAGATTTGCACCAGTATAACTAGAATTTGGCCCTCAGATTGTAGTTCCACAACAAACAGCCTTTTCCATTCCAACACACAAAATCAGCCCCAGGGCACACATCCAGTTCTTTATAGTTACACTCACATAGAAACAATAACTCTAATCTCAGCTGCATGGACTATGGAATCTACCTAGCTGTGCCCACGCATCCACCCCTCCCTCACAGGTTCTTGAACAGTCTAAGTGTGTGCCTGTAAACACAGCAGGAGGGGTTTTAATGTGTTTGTATCTGGGAAAAGGATGAGGTCAGATGAAAATTTGACCTCTGACTATGATTGTGAGCCATTAGATGTGCACTTCATGAGGAGGTTCTTTGTTGGAAGAGAAAGACAGATTCTTTATTGATATGTCAAAGAGGAAATTATTTAAAATCTTCTACATGTCTGAAAAGCAGGCTCAAAAGAGTGTGAAAAGTACCTAGAAAAATCAAAGTTTCTCCTTCTTGAAGTTGTCCCATGATTCCTGCCAATTACCATGCTTAATTTAAAGTCTCAGAGGGTAGCTGTGTTAGGGTATGTCTACACTACCCCACTAGTTCGAACTAGCAGGGGTAATGTAGTCATCCGCAGTTGCAAATGAAGCCCAGGATTTGAATTTCCCGGGCTTCATTTGCATGAAGCCTGCTGGCGCCATTTTTAAATGCCGGCTAGGTCGGACCCCATGCCGCGCGACTACACGCGGCACGGACTAGCTAGTTCGGATTAGGCTTCTAATCCGAACTAGCTGTACACCTCGTTCCATTTGCAACTGCGGATGACTACATTACCCCCGCTAATTCGAACTAGCGGGGTAGTGTAGACATACCCTCAGTCTGTAACTTTAAAAAGAAAAAGCAGTCCTGTTATGCCTTGGAGACTAACAAATATACTCTATCACGAGCTTTCATGAGTAAAACCCAATTCATCAGATGAGTTGAAGTAAAATTACAGAATCCAGAGTATATTTAATAGCAAAAGCAGTTACCTGTCAATTATAGGACTTAATTTAAGAATTCACACGGTGCTTTAAGTGGAAAACTAAACACATCTTTACATTTGGAGAATATGGAGTGCTTCTGTAAGGCACACACCCATATATCAGCCCCTCCTCTAGGAATAAACTTTTAAAAATAAATGGAACTACACCAGTGGAAAACTAATTTGAGAGAAGAACCAGGACTACAGTACATGCATGCACACATCAACAGAAATACATGCAAAAATACATTGCTATACCCACAAATAAAGAGGTACAATACACAGTGATATACAAAACAGCCAAAGCCACACACATACAGGCACACACAGGAATTGCACATGCACACACACAGGCTGTTAGTGGGAAAGGATGCTGCTCAGACCCAGTGTATCAAGATGTAGGAGGATCCAGATAAAGTGAGCACTGCAGCACAAGCAATGACTGTGCAGCTAGCTCAGGGCTTCCTCTTCAAGTGTGTGGGGGTTTTTTATTATTTTTTTTCCAACTTCCTTCCTGCTCTAACTGCCAAAGCTCAAAACTCAGCGCAGAGAGCAGAGAGGAACCCTAGACGCAGACGCCAGCCAGTAAGTAGAAATTCAGATAACTTGGGGGAGGGGGATATGGAAAAGAGCCTTCCCACTGTGCTATCACAGCTTGAGTCTGTTCCTTTTCGGGCAGAGGGAGCAAGGCTCTGCACAGCTTTACAATAGGAAAGGGTCTGATATGCAAAGCATGGCCATGGCTGCACCAGAAAAGGAAGTCAGACAGCAATGCGGCGAAAGAGGAGACGGCTGTGCAGTGACAGCTCAGCCTTGTACTGCATTGTCAGTGAAGCTGGGGTATGCTTGTGAAGGATCAGAGGGAGGGTGATGCAAGTTGTTTCCTGCCCAGGCTCTCATGTTAAATTATGCTTTGCTATGCTTTGTTTTCCAAAGAGGCCTGCTCAGGCAATGGGGTATTTTGTCTTTCATCCCTGGAGGACAGGGCTGACAGAAGTAGTAGTTTACCTTTCATCGTGGAAAATTCCATTGCATTCTCTCTGCCAAATCCTCATTCTCAGGTAGATAAGCCCTGTTTCATGGTTACATTATACGTGAGTTCAATACTCTTAAGAAGCACTGGTAAAATGGCTGGTCTGCAGCCAATGCCCCATATTTATGTCCAGGGCAGACACCCTACACAGCAAAGGGAGTGTCAATAAGGTCTTTCTTTGCTTGCTGCCTCTTGTCAGCATGGCTCCCTCTGAACTACAGTGAGCACTTCTGAAATATCAACATCCTACCCCTTCAGCCTTTGGACTCTGCCAAAGTGGCTCCGGGTGGCTGGCTGATGCCAATGCTTAGGGTGCTTTTGCTCTTTGCTTTTTGAGGCTGTCCCTTTCTGGCAGGAGCTCCCTGAATCTGGCCCACTGTTTCTCCACTAGGGCCAGAGATGAGGCCTTAGGCCTCATCGGCACAATTTGAAATCTAGAACATGAAGAGGAGGAGATATCAAGGGACAGGGCAGGAGCACAGAAGGTGGGAGGAGCAAAGAATCTGCAGGAGTGGGTGAAGCAAGAGAAAGTGGTAGTGACAGGAAACATTTTTAATTTCTTTCCACAAGTGTTTTAAGGGTTTCTTCTGGTGTTTTTTTTTTATTGCCAAAGTGGCCATTCAGTGTATATACAGTCTATCTGAAGAGTCCCAGGGACATTGCCCTTCCTGATGGGCCAGTGAGGTACCACCATACCGGTGTGCACTAACAAACAAGATGGAGGACAATGCCGTGTCTAGGAGAAGTTTTGATGTGTTCCATTTTATAGGTGGCAGTAGTGAGTGATCTCACCCACGTGCACAGAAGGCCAATCCTGTTCTCACAGAAGTTAATGGGAGTTTTGCAGAGAGCACAACTGGGACTCTGAACTCTAGAGGGAAAACTCATGTGTGGGTCTGACCTACTCCATCTAGTAGAGAGCAGTGATGTGGGCATACAAATGAGCTAGGATGGTATCCTATCCTGCTTATTCAGATAATTGGGTAGTCTGCCTTTCCAGCTTGCCTAATGTCTTGCTAAGATCTCTGGGAGGTTTAGGGACAGGCTGGGGTTTCCTCTTTCCTCATGGAGTGCAGGCTCCCAGTACCACTTTTTTATTTGGTGGAAATCAGCTCAGCTACAGTGAAGTCACCAATAGGAAAATTTGATCCTCTCCTCATTGGTAAGGCTGTCTCCGATAGCTGCAGACTCACTCAAAGGATTAACTGTAATGCTGACTCATAGAATATGTATTATCCATACGAAGGCATGACCAAATCAGTCTGTTCCTTGGTCTTTAGTTAAATCTCTATCACTTTAACAGTTCCAAAGGCATCTGCCAGCATGGTCCATCCTGCTTGTCAGGACTGAAGCTTCCAAGCTGAGTTGTTACTCAGCCTATTCCCAATCTCATCCCAGGAGATTCAATTTTAATTTAATTTAATTTAATTTGATTTGATGAGCAAGTAAAGTACATTATTATCATCATCAACATCCATTGGGTGAGTGGGCAAATGTTAGGGTTGCCTGTGTAGCAAGGAGAAGTCTTAGAGGAGAATTCATAGAGAAATTTAAAATAATTAAGGGTAAAATGGAAGTGTGTCATTCCCCCTTTCATGCTGTCCCATGACACAATAATGAATGGTCAATCGCTAACATGAATGACCATTATGTTTAGGACAAATCAGACAAACACAGCAAAGAATGATTTGGTCCATGTGTAGTATCCACCACTGGCTATGACATAGTGTCTGTTTTTTTTTAACTTTGCTTCGAAGCATCAGAATTGGCCACTACCACACACCAGACTAGATAGTCCTGTCTTCTGATTAATTAAGGCAGAACTTACATTGCTATCTACTCACCTGTTCAACCTTTATTTCCTTATTCCATCCATTCATCCCTTGCTCTACCTTGTTCTCTCAGATAGCCATTTTTCAACCATCCACTCATCCTCCCTCCCTTTACTTCTTTCTGTGCAGCACTAGAACAGGTTCATTCCTCAAACTGATGGCTTTAGTGCAGCTGCACTGATTTATACCAACTGCAGAAATGGCTGTCAAAGTCCAGGTCAATCCCAGCATTCCATGGGGAAAGAACCAACCATTGTCCTTATGGAAAAGGAATTTCAGTGAACAGCTCCTGTCAAAGCCAGTGCTGAGACAACTGTTCATTGTCTTCAGTTCTCACTTCCTCTCTCCTTGAAGAGATGTTTTACTGCTGAAATGCCACTGCACAGATAAATGTGCAGCTGGGGCAAGTGTTGTCATAGGAACAGGCCACATATTTCCTTCCTGCACAGGAAGTGGACCTGGTCATTGCAAAAAGCGAGCTATTTTCAAGGGTGTACAGCAGAGAAAGTTTGGGGCATGTACATGTGGATTTAGTAGGATTCGTTTTCTTGAGCAAAGAGAGTTTATTTAACCAGTTCAGTTAAGAATCATTATCAGGTATTTTCTCTACTTTTAAAATTCTGCATTTCTAAGTGTTATTTATAACCCATCAGGAAAGTTAAACTTTCTCCTTAATTACCTTTATTTGCCTCCATGTTTCTATATGTGACAGTGGCTTTTAATGTGTAATCATGGATGAGTGCTGGGGCTACTTGCAATGGCTCGTTATTGTAGGGCTGGGCAAGGCCATGCATGATGACTAGGTACAAAATGTCATTGTTTCAGTCTAATTTGTTTGTCTCCTGGAGGCACTTAAAAAAGATGCGGTAAAGGTGGGAGGGAAAATAAGAAAGAGGGAAAAGGAGGGAAGCTTATTTGTATCAAAATAAAGAATCTAAGTGGGGCAGCCATGTTAGTCTGTAACCTTAATTACAAGTGGTCCTGTGGCACCTTAGAAACTAACCAAAATATATAGAATCATGAGTTATCCTAGAATCCTAGAACTGGAAGGGACCTCGAAAGGTCATTGAGCCCAGTCCCCTGTCCTCATGGCAGGACCACGCACTGTCTAGTTTTTTGTGAGTAAAACCTATTCATCTGAAGAAGTGGGTTTTGCCCTTGAAAGCTCATGATTCTATATATTGTAGTTAGTCTCTCAGGTGCCACAGGATCACTCAAAATAAATAAACTACACCTACAGACTAATTCAACACTCAAGCCACAGATTTCTGAGCATTTTGCTGTGACATTAGGTTATGACATTGAATTTAATGCTGCTGCAAAGCAGCGGTGCTGGAACAATTTGTGCAGGTGCTGAGAGCCATTGAATCAAACTGTAAACCCTGTATGTGATGAAATCCACTTCAAGCCTGAAAGTGCAACAGCACCCTAGTTCCAGCACCTGTGGTGCCAGGTGCCTGAGAGACAGCCCTGGTGACTGAGTTGCTTTCACCAGAGAATAAGTATGCTCCCACCGGTACTCACCTCCTCTGTCCTGCCATTGACTGGCTGCCCTGCCCTCTGTAGGCCAGGAGACCATGACTGAGAAAACCCCAGAGCTGCATGTGGAGGAAGAGGAGGAGGACCTGGATGGCAAACTCAACTACAAGCCCCCACCCCAGAAATCCCTTCAGGAGCTGCAGGAGCTGGACAAGGATGATGAAAGCCTCGCTAAGTACAAGAAATCCCTGCTGGGGGATGGGCCTGTGGTGACAGGTATGGTGTGGCTCTCTGATAGGCGAGGCTAACTGAGACAGGACAATGTGTGTCCAGTCCTGGTAGAGGGAGGACCCTTTAGCGGCATGCATTGTGGGGAAGGACTGAGGCTGTCCCCAATGGGGAGGGACTAGTAAGTATATGCATTTCTGTTGCTGAGTTATGGGAACAAGCTAACAGATATATGCCTAACTGGGGTGAGTGGGCTCAAATGGAGATAGGGTCTACAGTGTCAGGTCTATGGATGGGGATGTTTGGGATGGGGCCAAGGCATGTGGAGGTATGAGTAAGTGCTTGGGAGAGTTCCTACTGAGAGAGAGATCCGTGGTCTCAGGTATGTGTCCAAGGGGGAACTTTGCTTGAAAGGACCCAAGTTGGCAGCTATACCTGGTTTAGTTCTTGCAAGGGCAGCATCATGTGGTGGAAAGTATGTTCCTCAGGGTCTCTTCTAGGAAAAGACCTATGAGATTACTGGATGTGGCTTATGGACTGGTTCTCATTGGGGCTATGTCTAGACTATGGGGGTTTTCGGAATTCCTCTGGTTTCCTGGAAAAAACTCCTCTGCATCCAGGGAACGCATCTACTCTTCTGTGCCTTTTTTTTTTTTGGAAGAGAAGACATGCTCTTTTGGAAGCCTTGTCTTCCTCCTCCCACGAGGCAGAAGGGCTCTTCCTTAAGAGGGTTTTTTCCCAAAATTTGGCCTAGTGTAGATGGGCAAAATTTCAGAAAAGCCTCTTCTGAAAAAACTATCAGAAAAAGGTATGCAAATTGCAGAGCGCAATTTGCATACCTTTCCCCAATAAAGCCCCATAATGTAGACATAGCCTGGGTGAGGTACTTGGTTCTGTCTTCCTAAGAGGACCCATTAATATTCCTTGTATGATTAGAGAGCAGTCTTTAAACAGGGAGGTGAAGAAGTCATCCTGGACTCCTTAAGTCCTCTCCCTCTCCCACATTTTGATTTTGCAAACCAACCGGACTCCTCTTTCCAATGTTACAGACCCAACAGCTCCCAATGTGGTAGTCACACGGCTTACCCTGGTATGTGACACTGCTCCAGGACCAATCACCATGGACCTTATTGGTAGGTAAAGACTCCTTTCTTTGTCACATGTGGGAATGATGAGATGTCCAGCCTCAGAATAATTTCAGAGCCTTAGTTCCTATTTGAAGTTGATGCTGAGGAAGGTGATGTAAACTCTAGGGCAATTGCTCTCAACTGGGGGATGTGTACTCTGCAGGGCATACAGAGATGTTCAAGAGAGAACTTAACTCACTTAGATCAGTGTTTCTCAATCTGGGGCTTGTAACTCCCAGGAGGGTCATAGAATGAGTTTAGCAGGTTTGCAAGTTAAGAGTAAGCAGAGCAATTGCCTGAGGCCCCACACCACAAGGGATTTCTTGAAACTAAGTTACATGCTTCAGCCCTGAGTGGTGGGGCTTGGGCTGTAGACAGGGCTTACAAGTTAAAACTAGACTCAAGTGCCGCACTGAAGTATAAGTACAGTATTTGTATTCCAATACCTTTATTTTATAATTATAGGGTAAAAATGAGAAAGTCAGCAACTTTTCCATGACTGTGTAGCTGCAACATTTTTGTATTTTTATGTCTGGTTTTGTAAGCAAGTAGTTTTTAAATGAGGTGATATTTGCAAGACAAATCAGACTCCTGAAAGGGGTACAGTAGTCTGGAAAGATTGAGAACCACTGTCCTAGGGAATATTCCCTATGGAGATCTTGGGCCTAGTTTTTTATTTGAAGTACAATTCTAGCAAAAAGAAAGTAAGACCCAATAAAGGCATATAACTGTGGTCTCATTCTTCAACTCCTCTCCAGAAGAGCTTGGAAATCTCTTAAGAATTATAGGCCTTAGAGTTCCCTGAACAAAGAGAAAGGCTCTTGCTCTGGTTTCTATCAAGCTAGCTCTTAACAACACAAGACATGGGTACATGTTAAAATAAGAGGCCATTTTGAAATGGCAGAATCAAGCCACTTTGCAGTTCCAACTTCAGGGGACATGGTGAGAGAGTCATGCTTCGCCTTATATGGACTTCTTATCAGAGAGAGGAAGTCAGGACTGGCAAGGCATTGATACTTCCTGTTCAACTGAAATCCCCAGCACACGCACAACATTGCAAAGCCACACACTGAGCAGCTCGGCTGAGTTTCCAGTTGAGACATGTCCTACCTCTCTAGAACTACTGCTCTGCACAAGTGAAACAGGTAACATGTGGTGCATAGGGGACCATGCTAAGCACCTGATTCATTGGAGTAACATGAGGGCAAAACACATGTACACACACACACGTGCATCTGCACACACACGTACATGCCTTTTGTGAATGCCTATGAACACATACAAGCATGTGCATGTTTTGTGTATGCAGATGAGCATGTATGTGCATGCATGCATATATCTGTGTGTATATATATATACACAAACATGCATATACCTGTATACATGCACATTCATAAAGAAACTTTCATATACACACATGTATGTACATTTCACAGGTACCCTATCAAAAAAGATGATGGAAGGGCATATCCATTTCCTGGATGAGAGTCTGGTTTCTTCTCTTTGTGGCAGGACTAACTGTGTGAATCTCTATATGCAGGGGATGTTGCAGCACTGAAGAAAGAAAACTTTGTATTAAAGGAAGGTGTTGAATACAGAGTCAAGATCCATTTCAAAGTGAGTAACTTGCCCTCTGGTTGCTGGCTCTAGCCATGAGTCAGTCATCACAGTCTTTCACAAAAACGTAACTGGTTTTGGTTGTGGTTACCAACCACCTTGGACCCAGTGCACTGAAAGGTTTGCTAACATGTCTAAGCCCGCTGCGTGAACTTGAGGAAGCAGATGGTGAATTGGAGGTTGCATGAAAACCAATGAAAATTCATTCTTGGAAATGGCTTGTACATGAAATTATGTGAAACTCACTCGCTGTGACCAAGTTTTGCTCTCAAAGCAAAATTTGAATTCACACAAGTCAAAGCTGGAAAAAACAGCTTTCTATGAAGCCCTGTAAAGCTGACCTGCTGAGCATTGCTGAGCTTTACAAATACCTAGATGTGGATGAAATATTTGCAGCAAAGGACAAAACTACACAACACTTCAAAGAGCAAGCTGGCATGCAAAGCGGGCATGGTCATGGCATGGCAACTGGAATAGTTTTTGTTTAAAAAATAGGTACATTTTTCAGAAAAAGCAAAATCTGGGGCATGTTCAATCACCAGAACTGAAGGAGTGAAAATATTAATGTAGACACATTTTCCACCATTTTCATGCACTTCTGCTACAAACAGGCCTAGAGATACTGGTATCTATCCCCAGAGTTGCATCCTTATGCTAAGGAATGTTTCCTTCAATCCCACCCTTGCTGATAGGAAAGGTCTATGGCCAGACTAGTTATCTTAAATCTCTCCTTGGTTCCCAGGGTCAGCAAACTGAACTCTGAGCTGTGAAAGAGCACTCTGTGTTGCTTTCAGATTTAGCAGTGCTTCAGTGAGGCAGTATGTCCAGACTGGGAGAAACAGAGGATGCAGCCAAGCTGTGACTCTCCTTGGCAATATTGAGATTATTTGGGGTCATGTCTATGCTCACCAGCTAACTAGTTTAAACCATTTCCTTCCATATCCTGGGAATGAGCTTGCCACCCCTTCAGTGACCACAGTCCCCCGTAGCCCTGGAGATGATGGAGTGAGCTGTAGCCTTGCCCTAGGCTTTCTCCCCCGCTCTGCACAGAATGCGTGCCTCCGGATTTAATGTGGGAATGCTCACCTGTGACCCTTGTGTCCCCGCTCTGCACAGAACGCGTGCCTCCAATCAGCTGTCTCTGGATTTAATGTGGGAATGCTCACCTGTGACCCTTGTGCTTCTCCTCCACTCAGCCTTCCACTCCCCTCAGTCCCCTCTGCCATGCCTCCTGAGCAGGGCTGGCCAGAAGGAAAATGGTGCCACGAGAGCTTGTATTTTGGCACCCCTGGCCTCCATAGATGTGGCATCCCCGTTGCTCCTGGTCCCCAGGGACTCCCCAACCCCTGCACTGTGCTACTTTGCCCCTAACTCTGCTCCACTGCACCTCTAACTCTGGGCCCCCTTCCTCTCCCAGCTCACTCTCCCCTAATGCCGCTTCTCTGCTCCCCGCTAGGTGGCTGTGAGGGGGTGTGTGAGGCACAATGTCAGGACTGCCTGTGTCCAGGTCATTTTCACCTGGGCTGCATAAGGAGAGGGCAGGAGAGTAGCACATCCTGCTGCTTGCCTCACTCTCCCTCAGTCCTCAGCCCATGGGGAGGGTGCCCCCATGTGGTGCTTCATGCGCCTGAGAGACTTGTTAACCCGCTCCACCACGCCACACAGGGGCTACGTCTACACTGGCATGATTTTCTGGAAATGCTTTTAACGGAAAACTTTTCCGTTAAAAGCATTTTCAGAAAAGAGCATCTAGATTGGCATGGATGCTTTTCTGCAAAAGCACTTTTTGCGGAAAAGCGTCCGTGCCGATCTAGATGCGCTTTTGCGCAAAAAAGCCCAGATCGCCATTTTAGCCATCGGGGCTTTTTTGCACAAAACAGTACTGTGCTGTCTACACTGGCCCTATTGTGCAAATGATTAACGCAAGAGGGCTTTTGCCTGAATGGGAGCAGCACAGTATTTCCGCAAGAACACTGACAATCTTACATGAGATCATCAGTGTTTTTGCAGAAATTCAAGCGGCCAGTGTAGACAGCTGGCAAGTTTTTCCGCAAAAGCAGATGATTTTGCGGAAAAACTTGTCAGTCTAGACACAGCCAGGAGGCCTGGGCAAGGAGTGGTGGAGCTCCAATGCTAAACAGAAGTATCCAGACTGTGTGAAAACTCGTGGCCTGTTGCTGAGAAATGCCAGGGCTCCCCTCAGCAATGTCTGCTCCACTTTGGGCCCTGAGGCCTGCTCTGCCTTGTCCAGCACCGAGGAGTGGCATGTAGGAGCTGTGTGGCTGAGGAGAGGAGAGCAGCAGAGATTGCACTGAGACCCTCCTCATTAGGCTCATCTCTGATCCCTCCCCCTTGCAGGTAAATCGCGACATTGTGTCTGGATTGAAATATGTGCAGCACACCTACCGGACAGGGGTGAAGGGTGAGTAAGACAAACCTCCCCCAAACACACCACCCCCCATGTGCACTCCCAGCCTTACACAGAGATTCTTCTGTCCCAGACAGAGCTCCCCCCAGCTCAAAAAGCCCCGTTCAAAGGCTCTCATTCTACACCGTGCCTTCCACAGACACAGTTATGTGCTATGGCTCATCACACAGGTTTCCATTATATGCAGAGCCTGTCCCCCCTCAGAATTCCCCATTCTGCATTGAGCTTTCTACAGACACCAGCAGAAACAGCCTATTCTGTGCTACCCCACAGAGCAACCAACCCTATACAGAGTTTTCTTCCTTTCGTATGCAGGCTGTCCCATGGGAGAGACTCATTCCACACATAGATTCTATATATAGACCTTTGCATCAAATCTCGCACTGTGTCTGCTCCCTGCCTCTGCCCTCTCCCCAACAGCCTGCCTCAGTTCCCGTGTGATCTGAATTCATGCACCCAGTTTTTCCTCTTCTTGTTTGCCTCCCTCCTGATGGGCTTTTCCCTGGTGGGTTGTTTCCTCCTAGTGGATAAAGCGACGTTCATGGTGGGCAGCTATGGGCCGCGGCCAGAGGAGTACGAATTCCTGACGCCTATTGAGGAAGCACCCAAAGGCATGCTGGCTCGGGGCACCTATCACAACAAGTCCTTCTTCACTGATGACGACAAGCACGACCATCTCACCTGGGAGTGGAATCTGTCCATTAAGAAGGACTGGACAGAATGAGCTCACTCTGTCCACACTAGTCACCAGGAGTGCCACACCCAGGACCCACGCATCCTGCTGCCCTCTGCTGCCACTAAGGGAGTTCCAGAACCCTCTTAAGCCTTGTTCCTGCCACAGGAGATTCTGTTAAAAGCAGGTCTTTGTACAGACCCATGGACAGCCTCTGTGTTTCCCTACTGCTACACTGAAAATAACACACCCAGAGTTGTTGTGACATGGGTTAAATTGGGATGAATCCCTCTATCTGCTTGTTCCTCTTGTACTCCAAATCAGATCTATGAAGTGCCTTTTTGAGAGAACACAATCATCTTGCCAGCTTTACATCTTTTATGGCAGGGCAAATTCCCCCTCTCTCCAGAATGATCCTCCACAGTTATTTCTGCCATGTGCTCATGCTAAATGGCTGATCCCATTATGGTCCTCTTATCCTGGTCTGGTGCCCAAATCATGTAGCCTGCCTCTAAAGGCAAAACCAATAAGGGAGACTCAATTAGCCATCATGACTTGTAAAGCCACCACTGTCCCAAGAATAAAGTCAGTTTCTGTCTTCACTGCTGAGTGAGGCTCTCATTCTTTTGTGGGGCTCGTCCACTCACTCTGCCTTTCACACATGCCGAGCATTGTAATATTGTGTGGCTAAATAGCACTCAGGGATAGAGAAAGGTCTGAAAAAATCCCGAGTGTCTCATAAGGGATATAACCCTCATGCTTCAGTATGTAAACCAGCCTAGCCCTGATGGCGTTTAAGGTGAAGTTTTCCTGTGGGAAAACTATTTCATAGATCCCTAATTTAGCTTCCTTCAAAGCCTCTTGTATGGGCCACGATTAGAGAAGATACCAGAGCAGGTGGCCCACTGGCAGGGCCGGACCGAGCCATTCCGGCACCCAGGGCAGACAGGTTAATTGTGCCCTGGGTTGGGGGAGGGTGCATGCGCGGCCCTGCCCCCGCGCCGGTGTGTGGGGGAGGGCACACGGAGCTGGAGGCGGCAGCAGGACGCACGTGCCCTGCTCGGCCCAGCTCAGCTACCGCCGCTGGTGTGCAGCCTGGGGCCACCCAGGGCGGACTGAGCCTGGCCGTGCAGGGCCCCACAGCCGCGGGGGGAAGGGCGCTGCTGGCTGGCGCTGTGGGGGTTAACACGGCTCCTGCCCCGGGTGGCCGCTGGGAGCTGCTGCAGCCCGTGATCCGGGCGCCGGGCGCACCGCTGTGCGCCCCTTACAGCTGCCATCAGGCGCTCCCCATAGGTTGGTGCCCCAGGCAACTGCCCGGCTAGCCCATGCCTTAATCCGGCCCTGCCCACTGGTCTGATCCACTCTAACAGTTGTGTGTTCCTATGTTATGTGTCTATTTAATTTTAATGTGGCCTTCCTGGCATTTATAGGCATCTGCTCCTCATTTTCCATAACAGGGGCCAGCTGCCCCAGGAGTCATGCTGGGGTCAGATTGACTGGCCATCCTGCAGGGGGTACTTAGTGCACAGAGAAGGGAAATCGCTTCCCTGGCATAAGCAGGGGGCAGTCTCATATAGGATGGGATGAAAAAAACTGGGGAGGAGTGCCCAGAGCTGAGAAGAAAGGGGTGACTGGGGCTGCTCCCTAGGGCCAGCATGGGGTACCCTCGCCAGCCTGTGCCTTTCCAGAGCATGAAGCATGGGGATGTCTCCCCAGGAGAAGCAGGGGTCACTCTTGCTCTCTCCAAGTGATCTCTCAGTGCAGAGGTGTTGGAGACAAATTGTTCTGTATTAGCCCCATGGCCTGTGCAGAGCAGAGAGGCACCTGGACCCTGTCTTTCTGCCAGACTTTTATTTCCAAAGTTGAAGGTTTCACCAGTGCCAGGTGCTCAGTTTCCCACCCTGTTGGGAGAGCCACGCCTGACCAAGAAACCACTGACGTGTCACCTTTCCAGGCAGAGTCCAAAACAGAGTCCACGGTAAGGAGAAGAAACATCAGGGTAATGGACACCTCTGCCTTGTGGTGTGTCTTTTTCCCCCTCCTCATTTGGGACTGCCCTTCAGGATGTGCTGAGGAGACCCCCACGCCTCCTGGTAAGAAAGTAACCCTGTGGTCAGGCCAGTGGACAAATGGGGCATGTGAGAGAAATCGAAGGCTCTTTGAGGGTAAAAGAGCCACTGGGGTCAGCATGCACAGTGGATGAAGGGGTGTGAGCTGTGAGTCCCCTCAAAGAGGTCTGTCAGTCTGAATGCATGGAGGAGGCACTGCACTCAGAGGGCAAGAGATCTGTCATGCACAGAGGAAGGAAGGTGGGGTGCGTGTGTGTGGTAGGGGTGGAGGGGAATGGGGGTAGCACTGAGCTGCTCTCCATGCCTGATAAGATTCTGACATTTCCTCCTCATGCTCTCTCCAGAAGTCACTGGAGGCGCAAAGAAACCTGTGCTTTTGAAAGATACTGCAGCCACATCAGCTTTCATCAGTGCTGCTGAGGTGGCCGTCATTGGATTCTTCCAGGTCTGTTCAGATAATCTCTCAGCTCCCTGGTTATGTTACTATTGATTGCTTGCATTCCCCTGGGACTAGGGCCCTGTTGTGCAGGGTGCTATACAAACACAGAGTAAAGCCAGTTCCAACTCAAATAGAAAAGACAGACCTGGGCAGAAGGGACAGGCATATAACAAAGAAGCAGAGTGATCAGAAAGAAGGAGTAAACATCCTGTGAACTCCATAGTGGCAATGGGTTAATGGGGGGGCGAGGGGGGCAGAGTGGGGGGAGCTTATAGGAGCAGGAAATGGAAGGTGGGAAATACTGAGGTGGCAAAGAGGGAAGAATGGAGGGAATCATATGTCATAGAATTTAAGAAGGGACCACTACATAATGGAAGGCAGGGGGATTAAAATCTGCAGGACCCTTACTGTACTGATGAAATCCAATAAAGATAAGAGCAAAGTACTTCAGTTAAGAAGGAAAAATCAAGTTCTTTGGACTAGGGTCTGATCCTGCCAACTACAAAATGGGGAATAACTGTGTTGGTAGTGGTACTGCTGAGAAGGAGCTGGGGGCTAGGGAATATGAGTTGACAGTGTGATGCGGCTGCCAAAAAGGCTAATGTAATCGGGAGTGAATTAACAGGAGCTGTGCAGGTAAAGCACAGGATGTAATTGTCCTGTTCTACTTGGCACTGGTAAAGCTCCAGTGGGAATGCTGTGTCCAATTCTGGGCACCACAATTAAGAAGCATGTGAAAAAATTGGAAAGAACCCAAAGGAGAGCCCCCCCCCCCCAAAAAAAAAAAGGTTTAGAAAATCTGACCTGTGAGGAAAGGTTGAAAAAAAACTGTGCATGTTTAGTTTTGAGAAAGACAGAGGTGACCTGATAAAAGTCCTCTGATATGTTAAGAGCTGGTATAAAGAGGATGCTGGTTTATTGTTCTCCATGCCCATGGTTGGTAGGAGATGAAGTAACAGACTTAATCTGCAGCAGGGAAGGCTTAGGTTAGATATTAGGAAACATTTTCTACCTGTAAGTATAGTTAAGTGCTAGAATAGGCTTCCAAGGAAGGTCATAGAGTCCTCATCACTGGAGTATTTAAAACAGGCTGGACAAACACCTGTAAGGGATGGTCTAGATCAGTGTTTCCCAGTTTTATTTGGCCACGGAACCCTTTTGAACTAGAAAGAATTTTGCGGAACCCCTGAATGACTGCGCGGAACCTCTGACTGACTGTGCGCGCAGCACTGAGTAGTGACATCATCGTCCCCATTCTCTGGATAAGCTGGGATTACCCAGGGACACTTACCGTGGCAAACACAAATGAAAATTGTTTTCAATAAAATTCATAAATGAATGAAAATTCCATTCCATTACAATAATTCAGGCTGTAATGGAATTTTTTCTCTGACCCCTATTTTCACTTCACAGAACCCAGGGGTTCCGCGGAACACCATTTGGGAAACTCTGGTCTAGATTTACTTGGTCCTGCCACAATGAAAGGGGCTGGACTTGATGATTTCTCGAAGCCCTTTCCAGCCTTACATATAAATATGATTCTATAACAGTGAGAGAAGAATGGAAGAGGATTGGAATGGAAATAGCTAGACAGACTATCCCTCATGCTCAGCTATGAAAAGAAGAAAAGAAGAATCCAAAATGCCTCTAAAGTTGCCTATTTCCAGGCATCTTCAGAGTAGTTAACCCACACTTATTGGATACTATTTAGTGGAAGTGTATGAAATATTCCTGTTAGGGGGAAACATAAAGATATTAAGTGCTGCCATCCCCAAAAATTCAAAAATCATAGACAAGCCTCAAAAAATCATGAGATCATCTTAAAAATCACAGGGTTAAAAGTACATTCAAGTTCTTTTTATCCACCCTATAGTCTTTGAGCTTTTAGGGTTCACATTTCAAGTTGTTCTCTGCAACCATGAGAACTAGACATATTTTTTTAAAGGGAGCTGAGATCTCACATGATCACAGGACTGCAGGCACTGGGGGTTTTGAGGAAAAACACCAAATATTGCACGGAGTTTGGACTAAGGGGGATTTAAAAATGGCGGCGCCCGGGAAGATGCAAATGAAGCCTGAGATATTTAAATCCCGGGCTTCATTTGCAACTTCGGTTGCCCTCATTTGCCTACCTAGCTCGAACTACCGAGCTAGTGTAGACCTACCCGAAGAAACTGATGGAGAGGAAGAGTATGGAGCAAAGGGGATTAGATTGCAGAACCTGTTTTTACACTCATACACCCACACTCACACTGCTGTACAATGAATGGTGTATATGGGGGAAAAGAGAATAAATGAAGGAGAGTGACGGCACTCATTACTATGGAGGAGGAAATGGATGGTGCTAAAGGAGCCAGCCCCTCAACTTTCTCCCAGTGCCCATTCCGCAGTCAGGTTGTAGATTCAGATACACACTTTCAAGCCCTCCATCCTTCAGTTCCTTCTCTGATGCCCAACAGTCTCCCAGAACCCCACAGCTCATTTTTCCTGTACTGTACCTGGTATTCAGCACAGCTTCCCTGGCTCCTCCCCAATTCCCTCTCCCTGACACTCAGTCACTTCTTAACCCCCAGCTTTCTCCCTCCCCACAGTGATGTGCACCCAGACTGAAATAACTGTGCAAGATGTGAGTGGGGTGTGGGGAGGTGCATGGGGAACATATGCTGTGGTGGGGAGGCTCGAGCAGTGCATAGAAATGAAGCCTCCCTTGCCTTGGAGGTTTGAATGGCAAAGTGCTTGCACCAGTTCTAGGCTAAACGGCCACCAGATGTCACTGTTAGCCCCTCCAAATCTCAACTGCTGCCAAAGCAGCTATCTGGCCAATGTCAAGAGGGAGAAGTCCCTGGGTGAGTAACTTAAGCTGCTTCTAATATTATTTTCTCTTTCTTTACGTCTCCTCCTTCCCTTTCGACTCCCTCTTATGTATTCTCTCCTTCTCTCTTGTTTTATCATGCCCTTTCTCTCTCTTCTTGTCCATCTCTCCTTCCCTCCATGTCTGTCTTCCTTCTTCTTTTCAACTGTTTCTTCCACTCCTTCAGGAATTAGAGAGACCAGAAGTTTCAAACTTCCACGTTGTGGCAGAAAATATCCAGGAGGTGCAGTTTGGACTCAGCACCAACCCCGAGGTGCTGTCTCATTATAACATCACAAGCAATACCATCTCCATCTTTCGCCTGGTACGTCTGCCTCATGCTTCTGCCCGTATTGTTCAGGGCACTGATAGTAGTTTTGCAGTGATGAGATCCCAAATTGTCCCCCTTTCATCCCTGCCTGGGTATCAGAGAACACATTCAGGGTGTTATAGACAACAGTTTCTGCTACCATGGAGAAGGAGAGGGACTGAGGCTCCCATTCATTTCTGCATTTTGTGTAGGATCCTGTAACTGTTCAAGGGGTGAACTAAAACCCTGTGGAAAAATCTTCAAAGCTGATTGACTAGTGTTGAGACACTTTCATTCAGGAACAGTTTGTAGACACATCCAGGAATTTGGGTTTGATTCACAGCTCCTTCACTGTGTGGTATTGGGCAAATCACATGTCTCTCTGTGCTGCTGTTTCCCTATCTATAAAATGCAGATAAGAGTTATCTAGCTAGGGGCAAGGGACTGTGTCTACACTTGCCCATTTCCCACCATTACTAATCCCAGTGCAGTTCCTTCAATGGCAGAAGATCCAGTAAAATAAGGCACTGGCATTTTTACTATTGTATTGTCTGCCCTGGCCAGAACAAGTGTAGAAGAAGCCATGGAAGTAACAGTGCAACAGTGTCAGCCACAGGTGACTTCTGTTCCCTAGAGCTCCCACTGTTTCTATCACTGGAGGAGCTCACCTGGTGTTCATGGTGGTGGAAAAATGAGAAAAGGTTGGCGTACACAAGGGCAGGGAGGCTTGATACATTGGGAGTTGTTTGTACAGTGTTTTGAATGTACATGTTTATTGGTGTTGAGTCTAGATGTTGTCTTGGTGCCCGATAAATATCTAAGACAGACAATGTTATTGTGTACACGTTGTTTAGTGCCCTGAGGCTCTCTGGTAAAGCATGTCCTGATCTGAGGCATCGTTAGAAAGGCATTGATTGCAGGGTTCCCTGATGTCCATGTACATCCGCTCTGCAGGTATACAGGGGCCTACAACAGTGGGCAGTTTTTCTTATTCAGGTATACCCATGGCATGTGGGAGTTTCCCTCATGCCCTTGAAGTCCTTGATGTAGGCACAAGACAGCCAAGTGGCTGGGGGAAGAGCAAAGTATATTTGGATCAGGCAGGAGAGTGGGTCAGAGCACAGTTTGCTCTGGCGATTCTGGGCTGCCATAATAGCCCATAGACAGGTTTTTCAGCATATAAAATTAGAGATGCCCCAGGGACTATTCCAGTCCCCTGCTGGCCTCAGAATTAAAGAGGTGCAAAGATGCCGTAAAGTCCCCTTTGTGTTCTCTGCCTGCTTTAATCATATCCTGAGCTTAGTTCAGGTGCTTTATTAATACTCTAGTCATACAATGTAGCTAGATCTCTCTCCCTTCTGTGCAAAAGAGAATGAGTTAGTATCATGCAAGATCTGTTTACACTGGATTTACTGTCAGCAAGTGCTACAAATTGAAATAACACTTATCTCTACTATGGGTTGATACTCATAATCATTTTCTTCCAATGACATTTAAAGTTCTTTTGTTTTAGCAATGAGTGGGGAAATCAAGGATAATTAAGATGGGAAGCTGTTTGATAGAGGAAATTGCATGACATTTGAAACAATTCACATTAAATAAAATCTTCCCAATTCATGCTTCTTCCACTTTTGCAAGTGAAACATAATTTAATGAAGAAAAAAAGCAGATTGAACACTCAAACCAGAATTAATTTTGACCAGCAATTTGCTTGTAAGATTTCTCCTCACAAAAATAAGCTTAAATTAATTAGATTTTTTTTTCAGAATAAGTGTGTAGGAGTGGAATCTGATTTTTTTAAAAGCAACTGGAACAGTAACTTGGAATAAAATATTCATCTGAGGGCTGGAAAGACAGGCAGACAATCCAAAAAGACAGTCATTAATCAAAGACCATAAAACAATGTTCCTTTATTTTTCATAGCACGGAAACACCATAAAGGGTACAAAACTTAAACCACAGTGACTATACTCCTGGGCCAGCGCCTCAGCTGGTATAAATTGGTGTTGCTCTGTTGAAGCCAATAGAGCTATGTTGATCCGTGCCAGCTGAGGGCCTGGCTTGCTCAATGGAAAAAGGACATAATTAATTGAGGTAATTATATCTTATGTAGGCGGGGCGTGACAGAGCCGTTTGGGTCTGAGATAAACCATTAAATACAGACTTTTTTTGTAGCGATGCAGCCTTTGCATAATCCAAGAGTATATCTGAATATGATTTCTCAAAAATGAGAATCAATAGGTTGCAACCCAAAACTCTCTGAAGTAAATGGGAGCCTTTGCCTTCGCGTTGATAGACTTTGGATTAGCCCCAAGGGTCTGTTTGCATTTTATTTGCATTGCACTAATGAGACTCCACTGACTTCAGTGCCCTTATCCTTGATTTACATTGGTGTAATAGAAAGAAGTATCATGCCCTTTGATTTCAGGAGCTTACTGGAGCATAGCAACACACTGGGTCATAGGCTATGTCTCCACTTACACTTGATCAACAAAACGTTTGTCATTCACGGGGGCTTAAAAAAGCCTATCCTCATAAAGGACAAAGTTTTGACATGTCAAGTGAAAGTGTGAACGCTGCTTTGCCTGCAGGAGTACTCTCCTGTGAGCAAAGTGAACCCCCCTGGTGAGAGTGGAAGTATTTTCTTGACAAAAGTGCCAACAAACATTGTTCACACATGCTGACATTTAGTGACAGGCCTTGTCACTAAAAGCAATGTCGAATCAGACATACCCAAAGACACAGTGACAGTGACCAGGGCATCACATGCTGACATTTAGCGACAGGCCTTGTCACTAAAAGCGATGTAGAATCAGACATACCCAAAGACACAGTGACAGTGACCAGGGCATGGAAAAAAGGGTTACATGCCTGCACACCGAAAAACTAACATACGCATTAAGAGGGTGAGGTGAGCCGACATCTTTAATAAAATATGAGACATGGATGTGGATACCAGTTGCATGAGCCTAGCATAGCATGTTTGGAAAAAGCAATTAAATTCCAAAGGAATCAGCTATACTCTACTATTCAATCGCTCCACAGTCCAATTTATTGATTTAATCTGGAATGTAAATGCACGTGAAGCTGTTATACTTTGGGGGTCAGTGGTTTGATGTTTTCCTTTTCTCCCTGTTTGCTGGGAAGACAGCTAAAGAAACTCTCAATAAAACCGCTTCCAGATAGTGATGAAAGGGAGGGAAATAGGGAGGGGAGGGATTGTTCCCTTGCTATAAACGGTCTTTGCAAGGTCTGATTTTCTCTCAGCTGTATTGGAAAAATTCCTCTCTTTATTGGAGAGATTTCCTGTTTGCACAATGTTTCCAGGAAATGCACACAGGCCTGTGCCTGTGTTTATTACTTTTAGTAATAATGAATTAAGCAGATGATCTTTTTTAAAGGAGAAGTTGAAAGCAATGAAGGGAGTTGGATTTATTTAATGTCTCCCCAGAACCTCCAGAGAGATTGTTAGCTAATCCCCCTGGCTCCGGTGGAGTATGAGTTGACAAAACAGGGTTGTCAGGCACCTTAGTGTTTCCTACTGTTCCATGACTTTGTCCTGTTCTGGGGAGCTTGAGCAAAAGACTGGGAGAAAGAGCAAGATGGTAAGAGCAGCACAAAGGCAGATTGGTAGGCCCATGATTCCAAAGAGAGTTTCAAGTGGTGAATGTTGTGTGTGTGAAGGCATCCGCAAGTGTCTAGGTACACTGGAGTATTTGTGTGTGCCTGCCCATGGGCAGGGAAGGGGTACTGAATGGAGAACAGCCGTGATTTTTGGCTTCTTTGCATCACTGTAGGTGGATAACAAACGTCAAGATCTGGAAATCACTGATGGCAAAGAAATCGATGTTACCAAGATGAGCCGTTTCATTAAGATCAATGAGCTGCGACTGGTGACAGAGTACAACCCTGTGGTAACTAGGAAATCCCATAATACCCCCGGCCCTACCTAGCCTTCCCTTATGCTTTGTCTGGTTTGCTGGTTTTTCAGTTATTCAGACTTTGGAGGATGATAGGGTCAGTAAGGGTACGTCTACACTGCATCCCTAGTTCGGACTAGTGTAGACGTACCCTAACTGTTGTCGGGCAGAGTACAGTGCAGCAAGGAGCCATGTGCACAGTTCTACCATTACCTCTCATTCCTGACAGGCAATGACCCCCTCTGGTCATTGGAGCAAAGGGATCACCATACTGAATCAGACCTGTAGTCCCCCTTCACCACTATATTATCACCGAAAGTGGACAATAGCAGCTGCTTCAGAGACGGCTCAAGAAACCTGGTAGATGATTTTCCACTGGGAATTTTTTTCCTATCTCTGATCAATTAGTAGATGGCTTAAGCTCTGACACATGATTCTATCCCTTATCAAATGTCCACATACAATCTAACGTAGCTGTGGATGTTCTCATTTTCCATATAAATGTCCTAAGCTACTGGCTTCAAAGGTATCCTGTGGCAGTGAGTTCTACTGGCTAATTATGTATTATTTGAGTCCTGCCCTCCGTCTTACAGCTCGGCAGATGTACTTCAGTCTGGACCTGCAGCATTATTCCTTTGATTCAATCCCTCGCCCTTCTTCCTGCCTCCCACCCCTCAAACTACTTAGCCCATCCATCTCAAATCTGACTTGGAGTGCCCATGTTTCCTTCCTTAGGCCATGGCACAGCTCAGTGGTGCATCATATTTGTGCCCTGGTGGGCCTTCTGCCAGCCCAGTCCTGGGACTCACCCAGCTCTGCCTTCTTGTAGTTAACTATTTATTCTAGGCTCTCAAATATATCAGAAAACTAATTTATTTTAAGTATATTCTAGGCCCAAATAATATGAGGCCACCTGGATCAAAGCGAGCCCTGCAGAATTGCCTACCTTCCATTCTTTGGGCCCTCATAATGTCAGCAGACACCTGCCCTCTTCACTGCCACATCACCTCCTGCTTTTCCAGTCCTGTCTCTTCCCTCAGGGACTTCCAAAACCTCTCACTCTTGACCTGCAGCCCCCACCATTTCAGCCCTCACTTTTCGCACCCTCCAGGCCGCATCATGCACAGGTGTTATGGGGTGGACAAAAGACCACTGGAAATTAGGCTAAGAAGGCGAAGCTCCTGGTATGTAGGCCCTCCCACACTACCTGAGACCTGGTGCTCCCAGGTGTAACAGGAATACAAGTACTGGCAGAGCATTTACACAGGCTGCCTCTGCGGTCTGGAGTGGCACATGGGGAGGCTGCAGGTCAGAGACAGGCTCGCCAAACTTCTGTTTGGTTTGAGGGAGCGGCTATGGCACTTCAGGAAATGGATGGGAGGAAAAGTCAGATGACAATTTGCCCACAAACTGGAGACTGTGCAAAAATACTATTGGCAGTGCCAACCCAGGGTGTCTTCACAGAGGCCCAGTGTGTGCTGCCTACTTGCTCCCTTCCTTTGGGGGGAGGGTGTTCAAACCATTTCTTCCTGAAGAACTGCGGATAGAGAATTAACTCTCTGCACTCTCAGCTGTCCTGCTCACACAGTGGTGAGCCAAGAGAGTTTCTATTTTAGGGCATATCCCCAACACTGAAAGCTAATTTTAAAACAAGGAAACAAGTACCAGAGAAGCCTTCCTGGTTAACTCCATGAACTCCCCAAGTCCCTGACTCCTAGCCCTTCCAAACTTCAGTCCCTTGCAACCCCTCCTTCCCTATGATCCCAGTTACTTGGGCACCCCAAGAGCTAGCCTATTGGGCTGGCTTTCCAATTCCTGATCTTGCCCCTCTGGACTTCAGCTTGCTGTCCCCAGACTGTCTCTCTGCCCTCTCCCTGAACATCTCCTCTTTCCCACAAGCCTCAGCCCCAGGGTCCCCAGATCCCTGGCTTGGGGGTCCCCCAAGCTATGACTTTGGGAGCCTCCAGGGACCAAACTTCAGCTCCTCCAGCCTTTGACTTTGAACTGAGAACCTGGCAGGGCTGTGATTTGTAGAGCGAGTTCAGCTGCGCCGTTGAGATTTGGGACTCCAATCATGCAGCAATTTACTATTCCTAATCGTGGTGTCTCTGTGCCTGCTGGTGGCACATTTGTCTTTGTCAGACTGCAATAGGTCTGTTCAGCAGTCTGGTCCAGATTCACCTCCTCCTCTTCACCGACAAGAGCTCCCAGGAGCATACAGAGCGAATGCACAGATACCGGGAAGCAGCGGAACTCTTCCGAGGACAGGTGAGTTCCAAAGGAGGAGAGGCGAGGCCACAAAAGAGGATTATTTAAGAGGGAAGAACAGTGACTTTCCCCAGGAAGAAGTCACCCTATGTGTCCAGCAATGTTCCCTCTAACCTTCCCCTCCATGTGCAGATTTTTCAATCCATGTGTGAAATAATTTATGTGCACCCAGACAAACAAAACACCTAGCTGTGGGTACCCTACCAATCAACTAAGTGGCATTTGAATTACTCCTGAGCAGCTGCACAAGTGCCCAGGTTACAGGGAACAGTGATGCTGTCGCAGGGTGCCCCCACCCCGTACTGCTCGGCCCTGGGGTCGGACCGTACACTTCCAGGCCCGGAGGCCTAGTCCAAGGTCAAAGCAGGCCCTGGTGCCTAGTCCATGCTCTGGGTGGATGGGGTAGGGGGATCCAGGCCCTCCTTCTCCACTGGACCCCAACCCAGGGCCCTATTAGTGGTGGGTGGTTCCCACCACTGTCTCAGCAGGGAGTTCACCCCAAAACACACCAAGCCCACCAGGGTGTTTCCTGCCCCTTGCCCTAGGTTGCTTCCTACCCCAGCCCCGTGGTCGATGGAGACCCCACCTGTAGACGCTGGGCTGGTGGCAGGTCCAGCATCTGGGGCAGCAGCGACGGGGTTGTCCACCACAGCAGGGCGGGCTGCCCCCCAGGGTTGGTGTTGCAGTCGTGCTTGGCCCAGGAATGGTAGCGGCAATGGTGGCAGTCCCGGCAGCTCTTGCTCCGGCGGCAGGTCCAGCTGTGGCTCTGAAGGCTGGGCAGGAGCTCCTCCCTCCCCGGAGGCCAGCCCTAACTGAGCTGTTTCCCTGGCCTTTATACCTGGCCTGCAGTTGGAGCATGCCCAGCGCTGCTGCAGGGGCGGGACCAGCACAGCCCAGCAGGCCAGCTGGCTCCCCCCTTGGCCAGTGCGGGGCTGGACCGCCCCATCACAGATGCCCAGAGTGGAATGAGGCCAGGTGAGCGGAGAAGAGAAGTAGTGGAAGAAGCAAGTGGCAGTAGGTGACAGTCCAAGAGAAAGGGAACCGATCTGCTCACCCTTCTCCAGTCCATGATCTTCTAGGGAAGGTGCCCAATACACCTTGCCTCTCTAACATCTGCCCTGTGGTTCCAGCTGCATATTATGCGCCTCTTGCTGGCATGTTTTGTTGTGGGAATGAAAAACAGCTGCTGCCTTTCATCCCAGCAATGGCCACATTCCAGTGGAGTAACAAGTGAGCTCTGGGTATGCAGCTTTTGGTTGCTGAAAAGTCTTGTCAAAATGGCCAAATAGCAGTTATGCCACATTGTTTTTTCAGCTCATATCACTCTTGCCTGTTGCCAGGTAATAAAGACCTGTGAATTTGCTATTTGAAGGGATTTGCAGGTGGATCCCCTGAGAGCGCTGAACAGATTTCTCATGGTGGAGGATGCCATAGACAGATTTCTCCTCTCTCCCCATGGCCAGCTACCCTCCTGGTGGCAGAAAAGCACTCCCCAAACAACCTACCTTCCTGAGGTTGGTTCTTAGCCTGCAGTTGGGCTGGATAGGAGTGCATGATAGGGAACTGGTTAGGAGGCAGACCTGACAGCAGTAGGGAGTCTTGGGCATGGCAGACAAGTTGGGGGAAGAAACCAACACTGAGGAAGAGGTTGAGCTGAAACCCTTTGGAAGGGTTTTCTGTGGGAGGGTCTGAAAGCTGAAAAGAATTGGGGCTACCAAGAGCACAGCCACCAGGAGAGAGCTGTTACCTCTTTCCTCAATTATATGATGTTTCTTCATATGCAGCTCCGAATGGCATAGCCATAACACCGATCCCTGGAACAAACCCTTAGACATCTCTTCTATTTCAGCACTGCTGTTTACCATCATTAGCCTTGAGTAGGGCCCTGCAGCCAGTTTTCTATTCATGTGACATGCCCAGCTCCAAGCTAATGTGAAGTCTGACTTGGAAAGTGAATTCACAAGGCATTTTTCCAAATGATGTCCTGAGATCCAGAGAGTTTAGAGAGCCAAGTCCTGATGTCCTCACTCAGTTTTTAGTAGCCTCATTAGGCAGGACTCCCATCAGAGTCAATGAGCATTTGCCTGAGTGAAAACAAAGGGAAGATTTCAGGATCTGACCTATTATTTATTGTTGTTATGATTTTATTTTATGTATGCAGTGCCAGAGTTGTACACTAGGGCTTCATGGCAAAGAGCTAGATGGTGACCTGGCCAACATGCCCCCACAAAGGAAGGACTAGGAAGGAGCAAAAACCATTGATTGCATCCCTACTGGGCTACCTGGGCTTGGGGTCTGACATAAAGGAGTAAACAGGGCATCTTGCCTGCCTACTTTCTTCCCAGAGTGGATTAACAGGGAGTGGTGGGTTGAAAGAAGCATGAGCAGAGCTTTGGTTCCGCCTCTGACCAGCTGGCCAGAGAAGCTGAGTCAGCATGGGTGAAGAGGGTGTGTGTAAGTGATTTACTATTGCTACAGGCCAGCAGTAAATTACAAGCCCTGAGTAGCAAGCAGGGAGTAGGGAAGGAACTGTGGCTTGGAGGAGTGTCTGAACTCACAACAGGTCCCTAAGGCAGGAGATGGAACAAAGGAAAAAACAACCAGAGAAACAAAATCAACCTCAGCAGAACACAGACCAAACCAAGTTTAAGTAGAGCATGACTGGCTGTTCTATCTGAAAGCTTCAGGAGTGCAGAAGCTTTGGCTATGTCAGCTGGGAAGCTGCTCCAGACATATGGGGTGGAACAAAAAATGGCAGAAAATGAAAATGAGCAAAGAATTCAGGTGACTTTAAATCAGTGAATCTCAAACTGTAATAATCCACTGCTGCCGACTGAACCCACCAGGTAAGGAAGAAACAAGAGGCTGCATTCCGTTGCTGATGCCCAGACAGTCTAGGAAGAAGACCCTGCTACTAACCAGACTGACTGGAGAAGGAGGAGAAGACGACCCCGGTGCTGACTGGACCTATCAGAGGATGAAGAGGACACCGCTGACTGGAAGAAAAGAAGCCACTCATCCATCACTGCTAGCATGTATCATCTCCAATGCAAGGACCTTTCTTGTTCAATTCAGAGGAAATTCAGGCTTCAGCTGGGGACCCATTTAGTGATTGGCTGGGATCCTCCAGTAGAGAGGGCCTGAAGTACCCCAAGCCCAATGGAGACATTCTGAGGCAGCATCTTGAATTGCTTTCAGCTGATACGACGTAGCTGCCAGGTTATTGTTACGGTACATATATATATATATATAGTTTTAGAGTGGAATCTGAAGATTGTAAAGTGCTGGAAGAGGAAATCAGATGTTCAATCAGTGGTAAGTCACAGAGAAAAGAGAGGAGGTGTGTTACTTATCCACAAATTTTGAAAAGCACGTCTGAGTGGTGACAGAGAGCAGATGAGGATCAAAACATATCCACTATATGAGCTTCAACAGTGATTTTACTATTGCCACTACATGTCAACCCTATGTCAGTTTGGAGAAGCACTGCCAAAACACCATATAGTGCCAGATTTTTCAGGTGTCTTGGAGGAGAATGGTTTTGTATCTATGGGAGGTGAATACAATGTGCCATTTACAGCTGGAGAACCACTTGTGAAATTCATAAAGAAATATTAGTTGGATGCAGATGTTCTCAAGAAGATGATAGGGAGCAAGAAAGGATAACCTCACTTCAGGGGAGAAGCTTGGAGTATGGTGCAAAAATGACGGCATAGCTGTTGTCATAGCATTCCTTCTGGCATGTGCATATGGACCTGGGGCAAGAGATCTTGCTGGTTAACCTTGTGCAATTTCTTGGATGACAACAAAGGCTCCAATGTACTTTGTTTCCGAGGCAGGCTACACTGTATGGGTATGTCTACACTCCAGCGCTAATTCGAACTAACTTAGTTCGAATTAGTTAATTCGAACTAAGCTAATTCGAACTAACGCGTCTAGAACTAAAAACTAGTTCGAATTAGCGTTTTGCTAATTCGAACTAGCATGTCCACATTAAGTGGACCCTGAACAGGGCTTAAGGATGGCCGGAAGCAGTGCCGGCAGGGCATCAGAGGAGGACTTAGAGCGTGGAGATGCTGTCTCAGGCTAGCCGAGGGCTGTGCTTAAAGGGACCCGACCCCCACCCCGGACAGACAGTTCTCAGGGGTGCCCCGCTTGCAAAGCAGTCCTGGCTTGGA